AAAACTAAAGAAAAAAAATCCATTTATCCAAAGCTATTGTAAATTTAAAATATAAAAATAATTAGAATTAACGAGAATTTTCATAAATTCCCTTAAGTATCTTTAAAAAAAAAAAAAAAAAAAAAAAAAAAAAAAAAAATATTGTAATTCTTTTAAAGTTTCAAAAGATGAATTATCAAACAAAAATTTTCGGGAAATCCTTATATCCTGAATCCTTTCCCGAAACCCAGGAGGAAATAAAAAGAATCCTAAATTAGTACCAAGAAAAAAAAAATTATATTATATTTCTTCAAAAGTGGGAATCTATAAAAAAATATAAAAATAAAAAAATAAACAAATTTAATAAAGGAAAGAAAATTTTCCTTAAAGTAGGTTGCTGTAGTAAAGCAACTGATCCTAAATATTTTCCAGTAAAGTAGGTTGTAGAAAACAACTGATCCTGAATATTTTCTCGTAAAGTAGGTTGCAGGTAATGCAACTGATCCTAAATATTTTTCTCGTAAAGTAGGTTGCAGGTAAAGCAACTGATCCTGAATATTTTCAAGTAAAGTAGGTTGCAGGTAAAGCAACTGATCCTAAATATTGTTTTAATTTCCCAAAATTAAACGGGATGTAAAGTAGGTTGTTCAAAAACAACTGATCCTAAATATTTCTCACAATCAAATGGGACATTTGAAAGATCCCATCTCACTCAAAAGGATTCCTTGAAAAATTAAATAAATAAAAAAGTAAAACAAGTGGACGAATTTATATCCTTTGCTAAGTCTTCTCGTAACTCTTACGTCCACTCCTCCTTGGGATAGTATCTTAGTAAATCTTCAATTGGTGATAAAAACCTTTAATTCCAAATTCCCTAACGAAGGAACTGACTATAAACGACTCACGAAATATATTAATAAACTACTATACTAATAATATAAAAAAAAAAAAATTAAAATGACATAAATGTATGAGTAATATTATAAATAATGTACAATTCTGTTTGCATGGCAACATATCATTCATCCACTAATACATTATCCTATAAAAAATTTTTATGTAAAACACTTCCTAGTCCTATCAGAAGAAATGTATCAAAAAAATTATTCTTTTATCCAACCTCAAGTCCTTTACCTCTAATGAGCAATGAAAAAAATTCCATTACTGGAAAAACCTCAATTTGTCTGGACTGACAACTCACTTGGAATATCTATGCGAAAAAGTAACGCATAT